AACAGGGCTACATCTATTTCAGCAAGGCCATATCCTAACAAGACCACACCTCCTAATCCTTCTCAAGTATTGCTACTCCCTGATGACTAAGCATTCAATTATGAGAACCTATGGGGGCCATTCTTACTCAAATCACCACAACTGGCATGGTATTTAGTATTTTAAAAATGGGTATAGCTGGGTGGTGGTGGCACAAGCCTTTAATCCCAACACTAGGGAGGCAGAGGCAGGCGGATCTCTGTGAGTTCAAGGCCAGCCTAGGCTACAGAGTGAGTTCCAGGAAAGGCTCCAAAGCTACACAGAGAAACCCTGTCTCGAAAAAAAAAATAAATAAATAAAAATAAAAATAAAAAATAAAATAAAAAATAAAAAAAATGGGTATAATTGCCCTGAGAGTAGGTTCCTCTATCCCAATTCTGTTTTTATTTTATTTTAATAAAACCCAACACAGCCTTTCATGAGGCATGCTGTAAGCCTGCAGGGTAGTCCCAGGAATTTCAGCTCGACTTCACCTATATCCAGAGGGAGGACACAAGCTGGTTGCTTTTGCTTTTGCTGTTGCTGTTTTGTTTTGAGATAGGGTCCCACTGTGGAGCCTGGACTGACCCGGAACTCTATGTAGAGCAGGATGGCTTTGAACTCACAAAAATCCATCTGAGTGTTGGGATTACAGGTGTGCATGACCACACAAGACCTTGCCTTTTTTTTTTTTTTTTAAAGACAGGATCTTCTGTAACTCAGCCTGACCTTGAACTTCTGTGTGGCTAAGGATGACGTTGAACTTGTGATCCTCTTGTCTCCCCCTTCAACTCACTACACTTGGTTTACACAGTGATAGGGAGTGAACCCAGGGCCTCATCCATTGTAGGTCATCTGCTGAGCTCTACCAAGTCCAGCGCGGATCTCTTTCTATGTCACTCACCTTTACATCGTATGACAAAGGGCCAGAGAGCAACATAAGACAGCCCACACCTTCTCTTTTGCTACTTGTACTTCCTCTACTTGCATGTGCGCGCGCGCGCGCGCGCGCGCACACACACACACACACCCTGTGGTGGAAGTCACTGGAATCACACAGCATACACTGGCCAAGGAAGGATTCCCAGAGGGAGCTCCCAGCATATCCCATTTCATTAAACAGCCTTGCAGAATGACATAGGCTTTTGTTCCTTTACAAGGGCTCTTTCAATGAAGACACTAGGCCAGGTTTTGAGGTAAGTGTTGGGAAATTAATAGCTAATGCTAGAAGACAGATATCTGTGTTCACTGGGCTCCACTCTAGTGGGGGAGATGTACAAATGACTGGACAGAATCCACTGTGGTGGGATTCATGGAAGGAGCAGACAGGCAGCTGAGTTGGGGGAGCTGAGAGATGGTTCTCTGAGGTAGCAACATTCAGGCTGAAACCTCAAACATAAAGGTTGGCCTTGAGAGATGAGCAGTGTGGAAACCTTGACAGGAGAGGGGGCAGCAGGGTCCAAGGCCAGACGAGCCTGGTAGGTGTGAGGATGGCCGGAATGTAGTGTGTAGGTGACCCTGGAGAGTGCTGGCGAATCAGGGCATCATCTTGCAGGGTCCCGGGACTCAAAGAGGAAAGTTGTGGCAGGGTTATTCAGGGACACAGGTGTGAGGCACAGGCTAGGTGACAAGCTGCATGGCCAGGCCTGGGAGGAGGGGGTGGCCTGGAGGACAGAGTGGAGGGACCTGAGTACTGTTTATGTTTTACTTGAACTCGTGGTGACAGAGCTGGTTCCTGAGTTCTGGTTAAAATCAGCTCTGCTTCCTGGAGTGGCCCTAGCTAGCAGGCCATTGTTCTTCCCTTTGAACAGAACCATGAACAGAGCCAACATCTGGAAGACACATGCAGGGGTGGTGGAGATCATTAAACTGACTTGATGGTGTTGTTTTTCATAATCAGGCAGAGAAGAATAAGCAAGATCTGCTTCCCTAGAAAGTGTCTCAGGCTCCTGGACAATCCTTCCAATCTAAGAACAATATTTTTCTTCTATTTTAATTTCAACCAGAGAATGACACGGTTGAAATAAAATGTAAGACCGCCCTCCACCAAATCCACCCCTGCGAGTCTGTCGAAGGGAAAGCACTGTTATCTTCCTTCGTTCTTCCTTGTCTTGGTGATTATTTCTGTCTCTAGAAAGCATACATACCGATGTGATGACTTGATTTACCAGATTGATGTGTTATCCCACAGAATTCCTGCCCCCACAGGTAAGGATTGCTATCACCACGGCTCCCTCCCGGCCCCATTCCCCTCTCACAGGCCAACTGCTACTCTTTGCTCTTTTCCCCGCTGTGGGTCCCAAACTAGCTGCGTCAGGATCAGTGGTCAGCTTATTAAAACACATGCTAGCCCATTTCTGATTTACTTTCTCATTTAGTGTGTCTAGGTGGGTCCAAGAATTTTCTTTTCCTTTGTCAATGTTAATTTTCACTTGTGTAGGCACACTCACGTGTGGGGTGGGTAGGGATGCTCGCATGTGGAGGACAGTCGTCCTTGATTGCTTTTACACCTTATTCATTGAAGCAGCGTGTTTTAATCAAACCCAGAGCTTGTTGATATGGCTAGTCTCTCCAGTCAGCTTGCTCTGGGAATCCCATCCCCACCTTCTCATGCTTGTGTGGCAAGCCTTTTAACTACTGAATCATCTCCTCTACTTTCAAATTTTCTTACATGATCCCAAGATCAGCTGGGGTTGCTGGCACAGGGGCTGCTGAGGCCAGTATTCTATTACTGACCTCTGCAATCTTAACTAATGAACAGCTATTTTTTGTTTCATTGGGTTCTGCAATCTCTCTTGGCTTACCAATTTAAAAGCACTATTAAGAGATTAGGCTATTAAGAGAACTATTACTATTTTACGTCTATCTAGTCAATCTGATGGCATCTGTGTTTTATGCTGTTACTCTGACTATGGCTTGGCGGCAGAGACTAAAACCTATAAGTAGTGTTCATGCTGTTTACCTATAGGTTTCCACAGTAGGGCCCAGGTCATTGTCTTGACTACATGGCCTACACAGGGGCCAAGCTGAATCCAGGAATATGTGACTTTAACTTAACAGAAAATCATCTACTATCTAGGTCTTTTTCTTACTCGTACTCACCTATTTACTCCAAATCCCAGTTTAATATGCATTATATTTGAACCATGGCATTATTAGGTATATTGCTTGTTAAGGTTTTTATTATTTGTGTGTGTGTGTGTGTGTGTGCGTGCGCGCGCGGGTACAGGTGCTCTTGGAGGACAGGAAAGGGGGACCAATTCCCTGGAGCTGGAGTTACAGATGTTTGTGAGACACACAGAGTGGGCACTGGGAAGCAAACACCTTCACTCTGAGAGAGCTTTTATAGTCTCAGATAGGGTGTGGTGGCAGCCATCTGTAATCCCAGCACTTGAGAGGCTAAGGCAGGAAGACTACAAGTTCGAGGCAGGCTGTGCTACATAATAAGTCTGAAGGGCAGTCTGGACTATACAACAGGACCCTGTGTCAAAAAACAAAATAAAAATTCATAATATCTTTTATCCTCTGAATAACAGTTTGCCTTCTAAGTCTAATATTCTATTTATTTTCATTCCAATTGGCCTTTCTCTTTCATGTCCACATTGCCTCTAAACTCAGTTTTTCTTGGTTGCTAACTCATACTAAGGGTAAATCACTGATGTGTAGGTCTATAGATACATTTAGGTGGAAGGCTGGCTGGAAGGCTGGAAATAGGGTTTCCTTTGGGAAGACTGGCTCACACTCATGCCTCAAACATTTTACTCAACTCTTCAGACACAATGAATCAGCTGTCTGCCTTACTGCTAATTCATATATATGCCTGCTAATTAATGAACCTGGAGCAAACAAGAAGGACATTTTGATACCAATCTTTCCCTATATCCCTGGCCCGGGTTGGATCGCTGACTGTCCTAGTCCATGAAGGTTTTAAGACACTCTTCAGGAGAGAAGATCCCCTTCAGTGCTCGGACCCTGTAGGAATGAGGGTTAGGTCCAGGGAAATTCTGTTCAGAGCTAGCAACATACTAATTCGAGTTAGCAACTCTCTCCCTGGTCAGTACAGAGTCTCGACAAATGCAAAGGTCACTGAGATGAGTCCTAACACGCCAAGTGCCGACGTCTACAATATAAGCATGAACAGATTTTTTTTTTTAAGGACAGCAAGAGTTATATTTAGAGAACAGAACAATGCTAGTACTAGGAATTTATTACTAAAATTTATAGAATTTACCATGAATGTCTGTTTGCCCCTTGTGTGTCTGTCCCTGTGGAAGTCAGAAAAGGGCATCAGATCATCTGGAACAGGAGTTATAGGCAGCTGTGAGCTGCTGTGTGGGTGCTGGGGATTGAACCCAGGTCCTCCACAAGAGCAGCCAGTGCTCTCAACAGCTAAGCCATTTCTCCAGGCCCCAGAGCATCTGATTCTTAATACAGAAACCATTTAACTGTCCTCTCCTCTCCTCCTTGGTTTTTTTTGTAGCTCACCTTGAGGCTAGCCCTGCACTCTGCCCCACGTAGACATCCTGTGTCCTTCTGACTCTTCCTACATTTCCCAAATTCTGAGTCTAAGCGACCAGCAAGGCTTGCAGGCCACCTTCTCACTTGTACTTTAAAAGGGAGGCTCATGTCTTAAAACAAAAGGAAGCCTTGCCCCGAATGTGTGTGTGTGTGTGTGTGTGTGTGTGTGTGTGTGTGTGTGTGTGTGTGTGTAAGCAGAGAAAGCTAGTTGAGTACTGAGCATGCATGCATACTCTCCCCCCCCCCCACCTCCCATCTCTCTCTCTCCCCTCCTTTTCCCTGTCCCCCTCTTCTGCTGTTCATAGTGGCTGCCATGTGACCAGCTGCTTCAAGTTTCCTCCTTGACTTCTCCATGGTGATGGATCCTAAAATGGAGGGCTACAATGAACCCTTGCTCCCCTAAGTTGCTTTCTGCCAGGATATTTTATCACAGGGACAGACACAAAACTAGCACGGATTCTAACCTGATTCTTCTGGGCGATCTTCTGTCCCTTCTTCCAGCGCAGCACTGGTGTCAGGTCTGGCAGCTCCCGCGCCTCATCACCAGACACATGCACACCCAGGCTGTAGGCAGCTTCAAACACGATGGGGCTGATGACATCCTGGACCCTCCGCTGCAACCGCAAACAAGAAGAGCATTAATGGTGAGCATCTGTGATGCTGGGGCAGCTTTCTGCTGTGCACAAAGACCGGCCTGCCACACCGCTCACCTCAGGTGGTCCTCACAACCACCCTCACAAGCTAAGGCTTCACTGCTTTCATCTTGTAGGCAAGGTAAGGGAGGCCCAGGGCAAACATCAGCTTGTCCTGGCCTCTGTGGACAGGCAGGGACTGTGTGGTGCTAAATCATCTTCTCCAGAGCATATGGAAGACATTATCTAACTCGTCACCGTTGTGTGCGTGGATGCCAGTTGGTGCCTGGGACAGCATCTGTACCTGATGCTAACCCTTTACTTCCAGGAGGTGTGGATAACCAAAGCTCTTTTGCACTGAGATTACAGTTTTGTGTCAGGGCAGGGGATCCAACAACACTGATGTGAATGGTGTCTGCAGCAGGCTAGCCATCAGTGGGGTCAAATGCAAGCTTCGTGCTCATTCTTCTAGAACCCAAGGATTTCAAAGCCCCCGGAATGGTCGACTGGTAGCCACAAGAGGGGCGGGAAAGCTGTGTTAGGTATCTTTTCTGTTGCTGTGATAAAACATTACAACCCAGGAAACTTATAGAAGGAAGAGTTTATTGGGGCTATGGTTCCAGAGGGCAAGAGTCCATCATGGTAGGGAAGCATTCAGCAAGCAGCAGGAACAGGAAGCTGGAAACTCAGACCCTCAACCCAAAGCAGGAAGGAGCATGATGGACAGGGGTGAGGGGGAGAACTGCAAGTGGTGGAAACTTGTAAATCTCAAAGCTCACTTCCTGTGACACACTTCCTCCAGCAAGGCTGCGCCTTCTAAACTTTTCCAAACACTATCGTCGCCTAGAGACCAGTGTTCAAATGCTGGAGCCTACAGGGACATACTCATTCCAATCACTCCAGGAGGGAGGAGAAGAGGAGACGAGTGGTCTAACAAGATGCCAGGTCCACGCTATGGCTTCTAGGGATGAACAACACATTCTATACCCACCATCACACAGGAAAGGAACAAAGAAGGTACAAGACTGAGTTCCACAGGACACAGGCCTGGTAAGGACCCTGATCTTTTCAACTTCCAAGTTCATGGTCTTTCTGCATAGTGGCACTGCCTCTGGGTGACTCTAGGCCCCACACCCTCACAGGTGAGAAGTAGAGGCAAGAGTTGGTCAGTAGTCTTGCATCAAGGGCCAGCACATTATCTGGGGTGATCTACCTTAACATAGCAAGGCTAAGAAGGTCATCACCCACAGTCAAACCCTCTGCTCTGTAACCATCATGGAGAGCACAGGTGTGGCGCGCAGGGAACTGAGAAAACACCTTATAAAGAACAAGAGAAGCTGGCCAGGCGGTGGATGCTACCTACCCTAGAAGCCTGAACACACAGCCCATGAATTCACATTATTCTCTATGAAGTTTGGAGGAGTTAGGATCGGAGTCTCATTGTGTTCAAAATGATAGAAAGTTCCACATGTCTCAGGAAGCACCCAGAAGAGAGCTTTCTCCAATGCTCTATGACAGCCCATCTCCTCACACAGAGGCAGCCATGGCTGTCCTTGGGGACAGCTGGGGACAGACTCTCACCCAGCAGGGGAGAAAACAGGCCAAGCATCTTGGCTCTCAAACTTCACTGCCATCTCTGTGCTCAGCAGGCACCCTAGGCAATGTCTGTGTCCTTTGTAAGGATGCCCAACTTGTGACTACAAGGATGACCAATTACCCCATATGGATGAAAATATGTCTTAGAAGTGAAGGGATGTTGCCAACCTACAGACTATGGCAGAGTTCTCAGGATAGGCCTTGTTTCTCAGGATGGTATTTGGGTTCCCTGGGAGTGGAGCAGTCTGGATAATAAGTGTGGGGGGGTACCCCAAAATAAAGCAAGGTTAAACAGCATCTTACTGTTTTGTTTGTCAATTATGTTTTCACTTCAATTGTGTCTGAGAAGTGGGGAGTAGTCCCAGGTGTAATGGGCCATGGCACCCCATGTTTTCTCACAGGTCTCCTCATGATAAGATTGAGTGGAACACACTCAGAGGTGCTGGGTGTTATAAACTTCCTGGAATAGTTCTGGGAAGGAGTCAGCAGTGCTGAGTAGGATAGATGGGAGGCAAATGTGGCAGATGTGAGGTAGGGTGTGGAGGACACAGCAAAGGGACACAGGCGACATCAGAGGCTGATGCCTGGACAAGAAGCAGATGATGCACATTTGTGTCCCAGTAAAGCATCCAGCTGGGAAAAGATTCAGTTCTGCAGCCTAACAAAAATACAGGACCTCCACAGCAGAGTGATGGAGGTACCTTAGACAAAGGGTTTCTAGAAAATTCTCTGGAACTCTTCATCTTAGAACAGATCTTTAAGATTTGAGATCTTTCCAGGAGCAAGCCACATACCTAGGATCCAGATTCCTCCAGCCTGCTGGCTCTAACCAGGATTCAAAGATGGTAGATGGCATGGAGAAAGATGGACGAACACACGCCAAATTCACACATTTGCAAACACATTCTCTGTGTTTCTTTGAGGTTGGTTAACTCTTTCAGGGTCTTACACTAAATATTTTATGTTAAGTCCACAATGACACTGTTATTCTGGGCCCAGAGGAAGAGGAGAGTGGGGGAGGGGCAGCAGTCACTTTATGTTTCTGGACTGTCATGTGTATTCCAGAGCCTTCCCCAAGCTGAGCTGACCTCCTTCTACTTAATCCTCACACCATGTGGTGGGTAGATTTCTGCTCAGCTTTTACAGAGAAGGTAACTGAGACTCAGGAGCTTAAACAAATTGTTCCTCCATCCCAAAGCTCATTACGTGGTAGAACCAGACTTCTCAGAACCAAAAGCAAAAGGAATTTCCTTGGTGTCCATTAAATGCCTTGGTTGTGTTGAGGGTCTCACTATGTAGCTGGTTCGGGCTGGATTTAAGTGTGTTACATAGTACAGTCTGACCCCAACCCCGGTGATGCTCCTGCCTCAGTAGCCTGAGTGCCGTGATCACAGATGGGTGTGTGCAAATGCTTCCCTCATAAAGTTCTACTTTAAAACCGTTCCCATCACATCAGGTTCCAGTGACTCTTTAAAAATGCCTTGTTCAGGGGCTTAGGAGATGATTTGATGGAGAAACCGCTCATCCTACAACCCTGAGAACCTGAGTTTGGGTTCCCAGTACCCACGTAAAAAGATTGGCATGTTGATGTGCACTTGCAGCCCCAGTGCAGGGGAGGTGCAGGCAGGTAGATCCTGGGGGCTTGGTGGCAACAGTCTAGGCAAAATGCCAAGCTGTAAGTTCAGGATCAAGAGATCCTGTGGTCCTTCATGTTCCTGCTTCACAGAAGAAACTGCCAGACGTTCTACAGGAAACAGGGAGAAGTGGCTGACGAACTTCCAGAATGGGCAGAACAACCCTTAAAATATCCTGCTTCACTGAAAGCTATGCCAGAGACTCTAGGCTTATAGGCTGAAGATGGATGCCCCAATGCTACAGAGGAACTTTGGATGACAGTCCAGGAAGCCAGATGTCCTCTGTCATTTCTAGAATTATGGAAGTTGCTTGCAATAAACTTCCTGTTTACTCAGGTAATATTATAGCCTTCTGGGGTCTTTGATGGAGTTGGAGACTAGATAGTTATAGTTTTCCTTAGCCATGATAAAAGATAAATTAGATATAAAACTTTAGACTCACAAAAATAGGATAAATAATAGAATATTTTCTTTAATTTTGCCAAATACAAATAGACTAGATATTGTACCTGTAATTCTTGCTTGATAATTGTTTTGTTATATATAATTTTACTTTGTTAAAGTTAAAACCTTCCTTTTTGATTAGACAGAAAAGGGGAAGTGCTGTGGGATGTCTTTCTGCATGCAGTGAATATGTGTGGCTCCCATTGGATAATAAACAAAGCTGTTTTGGCCTATGGCAGGTTTATAGCCAGACGGAAAATCCAAGCAGAGATACAGAGAGAAGAAGAGTGGAGTTGAGACTTGAACTCACTACCTACGGAGCAACGAGATGTCAGCAGACCAGTAACTCCATGGCCACATGGCAACACTTAGATTAACAGAAATGGGTTAAGTTATAATAGCTAGCTAGCAAGAAGCTTGAGCCATAGGCCATACAGCTTATAATTAATATAAGCCTCTGAGTAATTATTTTATAAGCAGCTCTGGGACCGTGGGTGAGAGAGATTCGTCTGGACCTCGGGGCCGTACAGGACCGGAGAAACTTGTGGCTACAATCTTGTCTCAAAAGGAAGGTAGAGGATGATAGAGGAAGACACTCCCACTAGACTCTGGCTTCCATAGGCCCTTGCATGGGCAAGCATCCCCGCCCACCCCACCCCCCCCCACACAGGAGCACAAGATGAGCACAAGGACACACACACCCACAATGCCTCTTCTCATCAAAAAGATGAATGATTAATTGGTCGCTAGGAAATAAGGACATGGAGTGGTAGTGTTTCTAAGTGTGTGACCACACAAGCAGTGACTGCCAAGGAAAAGGACCTTAGTCATGTGTGTCTGAGTTTGGACCATGAATACAAGAGGACATCTAGGTGGACAGATGCTAGTCTTTGGCAGCAGCTGCATGAGTCTACTTTAATTAATGAATGAGTTTGGAGAGCAGCTTCTTCTTTCATGTTGCAGTAGCTTGGAGCAGCCGGGAACTCAAACCACATTGAGTGGTGGGCGGAGGCAGAGGAGGATGCTGTGCCTGAAGTCTAGCCCCTCCTCCTGCTGGGCAGCCCCTCCCCCTGCTGGGCAGCCCCTCCTCCTGCTGGGCAGCCCCTCCCCCTGCTGGGCAGCCCCTCCCCCTGCTGGGCAGGCCCCTCCTCCAGCTGGGCAGCCCCTCCCCCTGCTGGGCAGCCCCTCCCCCTGCTGGGCAGCCCCTCCTCCTGCTGGGCAGCCCCTCCTCCTGCTGGGCAGCCCCTGCCCCTGCTGGGCAGCCCCTCCCCCTGCTGGGCAGCCCCTCCTCCTGCTGGGCAGCCCCTC